CACTGAAGGGCTCCACGAAGCTTTGGTTGAGGCTGTAGTAGCCGGAGCACACCCGGCTAGCTGGCTCATCGCGCGCCGTGAGGGCAGGGGCGCGCGAGGCCCCCGACCTGCCCCTGCTGCACGCTTCCCACCCGGCCCGCGCCCGCGGACCCCTCCTCCCGGGCTCCCCTCTTGCGATCCGGGGGCTGACTGGGCGCTCAGCCTCCACGCGCCTGTTCTGCCCGCTCTCCGCCGTCCGCGTGGGGTCTGGTCACTTTACCCGCGCTTCTCCCTCTCGCTAGTGAGTGGTCCTTTTATCTGCCGATCTCCGGCCCTGTAGCTCTTCTCCCTCACCGTCGCTCCGCTCTCGGCACGTTCCTCTGACTCCCCTACACTTTCCCTCGATTCCTGGAGCGGTCGCCACTCCATGCCAGAAAGATTTCACTTGAAGGAAAACGGGAGGTATAGGACACATTTGCCATTTGGACCCATGCAGCCAAAGTTGTAATTCTGTCTACCGAGGGACGGGGCAGGTGGGTTCCAGGCAAACAGAGCAGGGCTGGCGGGGAGGAGGGGGGCAGGGAAGGCGCGTGGCGGGAAGCTTTACCCGCCACGGACCGTCGACCCTCGGAGCCGGGTGGTGGGCCGAACAAAACGCGCTGAACTACCGGTAACGGGCTGTTGAGACGTACCCCTTCTCTTTTGAAAAGCATGTGTGATACAATAAAATCTGCCAATTTAAGTATCAAAAACAAGAACAAATTTTTCTCCAAAAACTAGCCGTACGTTCTGTATTCAGTTAAACAACCTGCAAAAGGAAGGAAAGGCAAGAGAGTCAGGTAAAGAAGGTGTAGACTTTCTGCAGGGGCAGGGGGAAAGAGGAGGAGGCAAAGGAGGTAGAGAGAGAATTTCATCCTTTCTGAAGCGTTGTAGAAATTTACCTTGTCCCCTTTTTATTTGATATTCTCATTACAGTGATTCATTTGTTCACCAAGTTTTTAAAATAACAATAGTAATGGATACTCATTGTAACAAATCAAACAATACTATGGTGTGTAAAGAAAAAAATGTTAATGGCCTTGTGATGGGAGAAGAGGCAACTATAACATTCATAGAATTTCTGAGATTGAGCGTTGTTCCCTCTTCATTCTCTGCTGCTTTCCCTCAGGTGGGGGTTGATCAGATGCCAGAATCATGAGTTTTACCCCGTTGGGTGCTGGGTAATTTAGCATTCCCATACCTACTCTTGGGCTTTGTTCTGAGGTGCAGTTAAGTTACTTGAACACTCTTTCAGGTTTGATTCTGAGCTTCGTTAGGTGGGACCAGAGGACTTGAGGACTAAACTAATGATTCTCTTCTGAATATTCTACCAGATACCTTGTGAATTACAAGGTTTACCATTCTGACTGGTGGAAACAAACTATTCTAGGCCTTGTAAGGGCTCCAAGAATATTCCCTCTGGCCCTTTTTTGGTGGCTCTTATCCTAGCTTCCAGTAGTTTCCTTATAGGCACATACTGATCACCGCTTAGTTGAAGACTCACAGACATCTTCCTATGATCCAGATCTTAAACTAACTGTCCCTCTCTCTCTCTGCAGCTCTCTTCTCTCTGGTACTCTGTCCTGCTACCTCTAGCCACCATGGCTTCCCTGGACTCCTAGCTCTGTCTTCTCAATGCAGCGAGACCACTGGGTTCCACCTGGGCTCCCCTTCCCCGTACTGCAGTCTGGAAACTCTCTGCAGGCGGCAAGCTGAAGCAATCTTAAGGCTCACCTCGTCTGTTTCCCCTCTCTCAAGGATCACTGTCCTGCACTACTGGATATCTGTGTTCAAAACCATTGCTTCTGTATATTGTGTGTTTAATCTTTTTCAGGCAGGAGGGTAAATTTGGTCCCTGTTAAGCTTTTCTAGCTGGACTTGGCCAGATCCAAGCTAGCCGGTTGGGTTCTCTGTCTGGAACTGGGATTCTGACACATGGACAGGAAGCCACAGCAGCTAATGCATAGGAATGAGAAGAATGAAGCAACGAGGAGTGACCAAGAAGGGTAAAAGGCGGGCTGATGGCTTTGCAGTTCTTGTTCAGGTCCTTTCCTGAGACCCATGACATTCCTACTATTGAGTTTTTTGATTCCTTAGAATGAAATCCCATTTTTGGGCTAAAGTGCATTCAAGTTGGATTCTACTGCCTACACCAAAGGGCACTAACTCAAAAAGCACTTAGATCTTCAGGCAAAGGTGAGGGGAGAAGGCAGTTGAAAGGGTAAAACCAAAGCTCTTTAATCAATGGCGCACATTCCCTTGGAAAAGGAAGTGATTGATAGACAGCACAAGTGCGCTTTTCTTCTTCTTGTGTGAGAGGAAGAGAAATTTCGAGATGAAACGGAGGAAAGATCTTCTGGACAATTAAATTGTCTCAATAAAACATACAAGTCTTCTTGGAGCATGAGACAAGAAGGTGGAATTTGGGTACTTGAATAGAAGGGAAAAGATTGAGAATAAACACTGGGAAGCATCCTGGTTGAAAAGGATCGGGTGCCTCGTTGAGGGCCCAGTTAACGTTTAGAAATCAGAACTTTCTGGTGGAACTAACATATCGCTCATGTGATTTTCTCCAGTGGTAACTGTTCCATAGTCCAGGAACAAGAGAAGAGAAATGGATGGCAGGATTTGTCAGGAGGGTTCCTTCGCCTGTACGCTGGCCCATCACTGCCTCTGCAGTCACAGCAGCACCTTAGCCCTTTCTGGCCCCCAAACACTCACAGAGGAAGGCATGCCTGCAGCTGACAGATCCTGCCAAGACTGGAGTACCTTGAGGCCTTTGCAGTTGAAGCAAACAAAGGAGCCTTTTAACACAGGAGGCCCAAGGGCACTTCCAACAGCACCAGTTCAGTAAGTTCCTATCCCTTGCTTGACTTGCCTATTGTGTCGTCCCAAGTGAACCAATTCTCAGCTCTGCCTCCAGGCAGAGGGAGCGCTGGCAGGGAGTGGGGGTGGGGCTGGCCCAACACTAAAAGAGAGCCACACAATTACATCTTTTATTTTCTTGCATCTCACTGGTTCCCAACCAAGGTGATGCTCCCCTTTAGGTAGTCTTTAGGATACATTCTAGAAATAAGGAGACATTTTTGTTTGTCATGATGACTGCTTACTTACTCGACTGGAGAGAAGGGATGTGGACCAGAGATGCTAGACATCCTGATGCAACTTGCAACATGTACCGAAAAATGAAGAACTGGCTGTGACTTTCAGATATTCCATAGGACATTCATAGAGATGAAAATTCTATTATAATTATCTGCACCTCGCACCTGTTCCTGGGTTACAAATAAATACCACGTATTTCTTGACTTTTCCAGGAATCTAACTATCCTGTAAATTGAAGGAAGATGGTTGTTTTGTTTGGAACTCTACCAAGGGTTTTCCACTTTTCGAGAAAATCATGTACCAATGTTAACGTTGCTCGAAATTTTGTATTAGAGTTGCCAATACTATGTGATGTCTGTGTCAGCCCGAGTTTGTACCATTGTGTTTATAGCCACTACATGCCCAGTATTAGTGTAAACATTACATCTTTCGGTATAGTTGTGCTTGAGCATTTACAAATGAAAATGCATAATGTACTGTAAATTACATTCCATTTATTTCTTCTTGATATGACAATCAAGGCATTATATACAATCAGTGTATTCATTTATTAGGTCCACCATAACTAACTACCACAGACTAGGAGGTTTAAACAACAGAGAAATCATGTTCTCACAGTTGTAGATGCTTGAAGTCTGAGATCAAGTTGTTGGCAGGGTTGTGCTCTTCTGAGGGTTGTGAGGGAAGGATCTGTTCCTGTGCCTTCACTCTGCCTTCCCTCCTTATTTAGGGAGGCTCCTCCCTGGCTCCTCTCCTAAAAACCCAGCGTGATAGAAGCAGTAGCCAAAGTTAGAATTCACCATCTGATGTAGAAATAAGTGTCAGATTTCATCCCAAACCTGAACACACCTGGTGAACATTCTGGCCCATGAATAAGATGAAAGGGCTCACGGCTGATGGTCCAGTGGATGCGGCTCATCAACACCCTCCTCCTTTGGGATGAGCATTACCATGTCAAGATGTCCAAAGAGTCTGTGCCCCTCAGCATGAAGAATATGACTGAACCAGTGCTGAGTCACTGTGAAGGCAAATAGCACTTCAGCAGGAACTGGTGGCTGTCACCAACAAACGATACAAATATTTTATCCACCTCACACCACAAAACACTCAGGACTCGAGCTGAGAGAAGACTCTTTCCCAATGCCTAGGGGACTCCATCTTTCTTTGGTCCCTGGGGTGGGGCAGGAAGGAGACCAAGTTACTGCATCATACCAGCCTAGTGGCTGTTTTCTAGCCCTCCTCGTTTCCCTGGAACTCTCAGGATGTGGAGAGAAGGAAGAGAGTCTCTTCCTCACTTGAGGGGGCAGTTTCATTAGAGTTTCATTTGTCAATATGTTACTTTCTAATTTTTAAGGGTTTTCTCTTACTGCAATAACCTAAACTTAACAATTACTAACCTACTTAATAGTCACTGTTTAAACCGCCCTCCCATCCAAGAAAAACCAAAAGGCTCTCATTCATTTAGCATTGACTATGACTCAGAAGTTGTCAAAAAGAGTAACTCATCCTCCCCCTACCCCACATTAGAATGGAGCTAGTGATTTGTGTTCTTAGGGTCTGATCTCAGATTAGAGAGGCACAGGCCAGACTGAGGCTGGTAAGTATGGTGAGAATGGGTGGTTCAGGGGCAGGTAGGTCCCAGAGAGTGGCACAAGTTGGGTAGCCTCATACATCTGCACTTTTAGCTTTGGTTCTTGGAACCATCACGTAGTTCCCAAGGACAAAATTGGAAGTCAGTCTACCAAGGCTCTGTTTGATATGTACAATGGGAGAAACTAGTCTCAACTAATATTTACTCCAAGATTCTGTCTCTCTCTCTCTGCTAGATTATGTAAGTGAAAATCGAGGACCGGGGATGGGCTCCTCTGGTCTGAAAGTTTGGGGACCTAGGCAAGGGATGCTCCTATCAGGAGAAATGATCATGTTTTCTACAAATTGGGACCTGAGACTTCCTCTTGTCCATTTCAGATCCTTCATGCTTCCTAGGGAACATTCTGCCCTTGTTACCTCCTGGTATTAAAGAGGAAACTTTGGTTGTAATTTCAAGTGCTGCTACCCATATTCACATGTCACAGGGCAAGCCCAAGCCAGGTCACCACACCAGTGATAGCAACAGCTCTGAGAGGTGGCGCAAGTGTTCTCAGGGGAAGCAGAGGGCCGCTGTGGCAGCGCAGGTGACCTTCCATGGCTCCAAGGCTGTCAGGGGCAGTAAAGATTTCTGAATTGATAAAGGCTAAGAGGGCTTATTTGTTTGCAAAAATTAGCTGCCCCTCTGAATGCACCGCTAAATAAGTGCAGGTAATTTGGAGAGCAGAAAGTGCCGGGAAGTACTCAAACAGTGGGTGGAGCTGAAGCAAAGACATGGTGTTAATTACTGTTTATATGAAATCATTTTACTCCTATGAATGGTTTGATCTGGGGAAGCAGGCTGAGTGAATTTCAAGCCTGAAACGCTTTTAGTGACTACCATGTTGGAGATGGAAAAGACACAGTTTTTACCATAGCTCTATAAGGTTTTCTGGTAGGAGAATTATCTAGAAAAATTATCTAGAATCATAAGTTCTATGATTGATTCGCTTTATAAAAATTTGAAAATTTGACCACCTCCTTCTACATTTTACCAGAAAAAAAAATCTAAGAATGCTTAGAGGTTTTTTTTGTTGTTGTTTATGTAGAAAAAACAAATATTTAAACATGGAATATGTCACTCATGTTAGTTATGTTATGGCAATATTGTACTGTATTATCATAACCGATACAAATTTACAACATTCAAGTAAAGAATCATTTTTTGAAATCAAATGAAATCTGATGCAAACATCAGTCTGGTAGGAAATTTAATCTCAGTTATATTTTGGGAGTCCTTTTTCTCTTCTCCTGGTGATGCAAATGTGCTGGAGAGATTACGCAACTTCAAACAATCGGTAGATACCGAGAGTGGGCTCGTGGGACCAGTCTGCTCCAGGTGCAGGCAATAAGAGTGTGCCCTTTTTGTAGGTAATTAAGAATAATAAATACTGATTTAGAGGTTGCTCTGATTTTAATTATCACCAGGCAGTAACAAGTTTAATCACTCAGTGACAGATATTCCATTATGAGAAAAAAATCTTTGTGCGCCTAAATTATAAACAATTGCTGTGAACACTGTTGCGTTTTACTAATACATATTAAACTACAAATTAGTACTTTGATTACTTTCTTTTTGATAAATAGTTCATTCTTCATGGACTTCAGTTAGAAGGACCTTTAGTTAGTTCTCCCCCTCCCCCCAGCCCCGCTGCTGCCTTGGATACAGCAGACAGGTTTGCTAAGTGATAAATTCCTAAACATTAGGATCACCTGCGTGAATCCCTGCGGCAAGACACATTCCTGCATTTAAACAGTGGATTCAATTCAGAAGAAGCAAAGGTAGCACACTGATTATACAGATGAAGACAGAAAACTTCGGATACTTCAATTCTCCCATTCTATGTGAGAGCTTGGAAATTTCATTTGTGTTTAAACGTTTAAAACAGTCAGAGTTCAAGTGGTGATGCATGGTATTTTTGTTTGGTTAGTGCCTTTTTAGCTCCTACATGCAAGATCCTACTGACTCTGCATAACTCTTACTTTGAAATTTTATATTTTAGATGGTTCCCTGTTTTAAAACTAAGGAAGGAGTCAAGAAAATAGTTATTATTATGTGATTAATTCTTTAAAAATTTGGCTTATGGAGGTAAAAATGCTCGGCTCCTGGTGTCAAGTGTACTGATATGCTTCTGCTCTGGTGTTGGATCCATTATAGATACCATTGCTCTTGGCAATAGGAGTTGTTTCAAGGTGACAGTCTGCCCATCGCCATCCCTGGAACAGTTTCTGTGGCCCATCAGTAAAATAGCCACTTTCCGACTTGCTTTAGGCCATGTCAGGAACGTTGGTAACTGCCATCCCCTCCTTATTCTAGTATTGGGTCGGGTCATGCCCCTTCCCCTTCACCCGTAGCACTGCACCCTTCCTGAATAATTTGGCTTTCTGCATAGGTTTTTGAAAACAAAATTCTCATAGCACCATTCTGGGGCAGGGAAAGCTCAACTTTCTTTTCTTTGAGTGTGTGTCATTAGAAGGAGATGGGTCAGGATGGAAACAGAGAATTTAGAGGACTATATCTCATTGTTTTGTCTTGAGACCATGGAAACATGAAACATTTAATTTTTCTCTTAGGTTGTCTTGCTACCTTAGTCAAGAGGATCATCATGGAATTGTATTTAGGCAGCAATTCTTGTGAGTACTGTCAATTCTGAGAGATAAAACGATTGCATTTGTAGTACTCTTAAATCACACAAGCTTTGAAATATTATAGTCCACTCGAGTCGCTGAGTTTGTTAATTACATTTTGGCTTCATTTTTGTGGGCTATGGCAGCATTCATCGTTGATTATGTCATTGTCCTGTCAGTAGAACATGTTATTGTGTATAATGTGGGTTGATGGTGTTTCTTTGAAGATGACCAAAAAAATCACATTTTTGTAGGTAGAATTCATTGATTAAGTCCCGGGGTATTAGCTGAACATCCAGTTGTGCATAGTTATGCAAGGTGCTTAACTCACCCTACAGAGTGTTGGGGATTTGTCTCAGGATCCTTTCTTCTGCTCAGCACTGCCCTCTGTTTTCCTTCAGAGCACTGTGTCTGTTCAAACTAGATGGTTTTTTTTTTTTTTCATCTGCATGTAGAGAACAAGAAGTTACTAATGCTCGGAAGTTATCCGTGGAGATTCTCTTAAGTCTGCTGCTCTCAGCAAGGGAAGGAAAACTTTCTTTAATGGAAGGAAGGGACCCTGGGAGGATACTCCAAACAGGTAAGGTGCGTCCTTCATCCCTGACTCCAGTTTCTGCCAAATTAATCATCACAGCCAAATTATTCTATCTACCGATTATACGACCCATTCCTGAACCATCTTCTGGTTTTCTCTGCAGCCTCTGTATCGTTTCCTGTTTAGTGCATAACCAGCCCTAACGAAACATTAGTTCCCCTCCTCTGCCTTTCCTTTTCCCCTTCGCTGAATGAATGAATGAACAAATGAATTAATTCTTC